ACCTCCAACTCCTGGGCTCAAGCGAGTCTCCTGCCTCTGCCTCCCAAGTAGCTGGGACCACAGGCGCCCACCACAACGCCTGGCTATTTTTTTTTGGTTGCAGCCGTCATTGTTGTTTGGCGGGTCCAGGCTGGATTCGAACCTGCCACCTTTGGTGTATGTGGCTGGTGCCCTAGCCGGTTGAGCCACAGGCGCTGAGCCCTCTACTTTTTAAGTTAGGAAATCCAGACCTTATGACTTACAGAAGGTTACACAGTAAGGGAGTGGTAGAAGGACTTGTTTAAACAGATAGTCTAGGCCAGGTACAGTGGTCCATGCCTGTACCTAGCACTCTGGGAGGCCAAGAAAGGAGGATCCCTTGAACTTAGGAGTTAGACACCAGCCTGAGCAAAAGTGAAATCACATCTCTACTAAAATTAGAAAAATTAGCTGGGAGTTGTGGTAGGTACCTGTAGTCCCAGCTACTTGGGAGGCTGAATCAGGAGGATCACATGAACCCATGAGTTTGAGGTTGCTGTGAGTTAGGCTGATGACATAGCACTCTGGTGCCAGGATAAGAGACTATCAAAAAAAAACCCACATGGCTGGGCACCCGTAGCATAGTGGTTATGGCGTCAGCCACATACACTGAGGCTGACGGGTTTGAACCCAACCCGGGCCAGCTAGACAACAATGACAACTGCAACGAAAAATAGCGAGGCATTGTGGCAGGCGCTTGTAGTCCCAGCTACTTGGGAGGCGGAGGTAAGAGAATCACTTGCTAAAGCCCAAAAGTTTGAGGTTGCTGTGAGCTGTGATGCCACCGCACTCTACCCAGGGCAACATAGTGAGACTCTGTCTCAAAACAACAACAATAAAAGAACAGATAGCCTGATGCCAAAACCACAGAAAAGCTGCTACTCTCCTTGGTAGAGCCAGGGTGACCAAATCTTCCTATATCCACAGTCATAGTTACGTTGTTGTTCTACTCCAAAGAAAACCCTCCACAGAAAAATCACAGGCAGGCCAAGAGCAGTGGCTCACACCTATAATCCTAGCACTCTGGGAGGCTAAGGTAGGTAGACTGCTTGAGCTCAAGAGTTCAAGACCAGCCTGAGCAAGAGTGAGACCCTGTCTCTAAAAAATAGCTGGGCGTTGTGGCAGAAACCTATAGTCCCAGTTATTTGGGAGGCTGAGGCAAGGAGAGCACTTAAGCCCAGGAGTTTGAGATTGGTATAAGCTATGACGCCCTGGCACTCTGCCCAGAGTGACAAAGTGAGCCTCTGTTTCAAGATTAAAAAAAAAAAAAAAGTACAATCACAGGTAGATATTCCCATCACTCCCCATAGTGAAAACCCACAAGCTGACCTATCATTTTTCTCATTATTTCAAACAGGGCTCCTGTCAGCATCAGTACACAAAATGGTATTAACCTACTCACCTGTGTGAGCTGAGACCACACCCCCTATGAAAGTCTGCACTTCCACGGTGCCGCTGAACTGAGAGGAAACAGGCCTGAAACAGAAGGAGAGAAAAATAGCAGTGAGGAACTAATCCACATTTGCTAATACCAATCTAAATGTATTACATACTTCAGCTTTTTGAGACTTTTTAACATACTCAAGTCAGTTCAAAGACAAAGGAAAACTACAGTAATAGCTCACATTTCAAAATTAAAACAAATCATGTTTTGTGAAAAAAAGATTACCATAGAAAACGACCTCAAATTCTTTCTTCCTGCAGGGGAAGGAACAGGAAAGAAGAGGCAAAAGAAAACAGTTCAAAAACCTTTAAGTATAAAGGGCTCTACCCACATAATGGAGGGCAAACAATAAAGAAGAAAAAAAAAAAGGCTGTCACAACCACAAACTGAAAAAGATTCTATTTGCCTGCTTGTTAATCCAGACTGAACACAGAATTGAGTTCAGTCGGAAATGAGACTGGAATTCCCAGGAAAAAAAAACAAACATGCTGGTTACAGGACATAAACCCAGGGTTCAGGGCAGGGCCCTGTAAATCCTATACCTGCACCATGAGCCACTTTCTCAAACACAAGAACTACAGCAAGAGTTATTAAGCAAGAGTATTAAGCAGTCAAATACAAGAGGCCACACAGCCAAGAACCATGCGCCGGAAAGGCGCAGGGTTAACCCATACAAGGCCCGGAAGAGTTTCCAACGTGTTTAAGGAAATTCTTTAACCATGGTGCCGCCTTTGATGCACTCCCTCCACAACATATTCCTGGTAACCGAACTAGCCAGAATCCAAAAAGCCTGAACTCTTGACCTCAAGTCTTCATTACAGTCTCCCAATCGCTCCCAGCAGACTGACCTGGCGTGACCCCTGACCTCTGCCCAAGTTACCACTAGCCCTAAGATGGCCCCGCCTCCTGCTAGAATCCCACCCCACCCAACGTGCGCGCCCGACTGGGGGAGGGGCCCGCGCGTGCGCGGCTGGAGGCGGAGTGAGCCGGCTGCGCGCACGGCCCAGGGGCTCCCGCCAGAACCCAAACCCAGGCACCCCAGGGTCGCAGGCTGGGAAGGCCCTCATCTAAGCCCATCAGGGAGCTCCCCCATCACCAGACCGCGAAAGGAGGAGAGAGGGGAGGGTGCGTGTCGCCAGATCTGGTTCCCTACTGGACATGGTGGGCGCGTGCCCCGACTACTCATCCCACGCCCCCCTTCTTCCCGCGCGCCCCTGAGGGGGTACTGGGGTTGGTGGGCGGGCAAGAGCGCACCTGGGTCAGTCCTCTCAGGGCTCCCTCGCTTGCTCAGACACGCGTGCGCAGAAGGGCGGGAAAGGGAGAGGAGACGCGCCGGGGCCCACTGCTGGCCGGCCTGACCCCCTCAGTCTGTCTCTATGGGTGCGCGCCGACTGCCTCACGCACCGGCCCCGGGGCCCCGGCTGAAGGTGCGCGCGCAGCACCCCGGGAAGGTGGGAGGGGAGGCGGTGGCGGAAAGATGCGCGCGCAGTCACCGTCAGGGGAGGGGGAACTGTGGAGAATCCGCCATCTTGTCTCCCTCTCCTTACCTGCGTCCTCGGGGGCGTGCGCACCACCCCCCTCCCGCCGAGGAGGGGGGAGGGCCCCCTCTTGGCCGCTGCCTTCGCGGCCTTTAAACTCCCCTGGGGACCACGGCTACTGCCACCGCGTTGCCTCCACTGACTCCTCCCACGGCACAGAGATGCGGACGGTGGGTGGGAATAAAGGGAAACGCTACTCCCAGCGAACCGCCGCCGTCGCTCCCGAGGCCTCACCAAAATGGCCGCCGCCCTCTCGGCCGCCACCACCACCACCACCACAACCACCACAGCTCGCTATCGCTACCGCCGGCGAGGCCCGTCGTCTCGCGAGAGACAGTAACTGGAGTTGAGGGGGCGGGGAGGTTCGCGTGCAAGCGTAGGGTGCCGCCCAAGGGTAAGGCATGCTGGGAGGTGTAGTCTGCCTGAAGACTCCACGCCGGCCCCGCAGTGCAGCGTCTTTACCCACTGCAACTGAATCTACTTCGAGCTGCATTGCGGCTGCCAACTCGGACCACCACCAAACTCTACTTTTTTTACAGATCACCCCGTGAGCTAAAGTATGTTAGTAATGGAGTCTGGACCCTCTGTTTGCCGTGGCAGCCTACTTCTGTAGCACTGGCTCGTTTTATGTGAGGGTGAGAAAGCTTCTAAATACCTGTGCCGTCTGTTCACAAACTTTCTAGGCTAAGAATCCCTTAGAGAATCTGATATCCTCACCCCAGAATAGAACAATAAATAACAGCTCCCTTCTACTAAGGCTACTTTGTGCAGTGATCGTTTCTTTTAATCCTAACAATGTTCTATTTTACAAGCGAATTAAGGCTCAGGTTAAACAGTGACAGAGACCAAAGCCAGGATTCATAGCCAAGCAGTCTAAAGCACAAGCATACACATGCTCTTACTAAATTTTATTATCTAAAGCCCACCCTAGAAGACCAAGTTAGGAAGCCCTGATAAAGCTTTTTTCTTTTTTAAACAGGTCACTCTCTGTTGCCCGTAGCATGATCATACCTCACTATAACCTCAAATTCCTGGGCTCAGTGTATCCTCCTGCCTCAGCCTCTCAAGTAGCTGGGACTCTAGGCATCAGCCATTGCCCCAGGCCCCTGATGAAGCTTTCATTCAGTTCCTCCCTTTCCTCCACTCAGTTTAGTTATTCTCTATGAAGAAGCGATTTTTGATCCCATGTTACAGATTAAATTTGGGTTGAGTAAAAAATGGATGATGGCCATCTATTTAGACTCTGCTCCCATAACCCTCTGAAAGGAAGGAAGTAAGCCATAATCTGAGTTGGTCCTAATCTTGTGCTACTAATTCCTTGCTATGTGACCTTGAGCAATTCACTTTACCTTTCTAAGCTTAGTTTCCTCATCTGTAAAGTGGGGATAGAATCGCTGATGTAAAATTGCTTTGAAAGCTCTAAAGGATGCATAAATACAGAAATACTTGGAACCTATATTTCAGGATCTTGAACTAACGATTTTTAAGGTCAAGTTTAGCCTTCAGATGTGCTTTGCATAATGAGGGGTGTGGTTTGTTTTGTAGTTTGAGAAACCATTGGTATCTAACATGTTGGGTTTTTTCTCTTTCTTTTCTTTTCTTTTTTTTTTTTTTTTTTTGAGACAGAGTCTCCACTTTGTTGCCCTTGGTAGAGTACTGTGGTGTCTTAGCTCACAGCAACCTCCAACTCAGGCTCAAGCAATTCTCTTGCCTCATTTTTTCTATTTTTAGTAGAGACAGGCTATCGATTTTTGCTCAGGCTAGTCTCAAACTTGTGAGCTCAAGCAATCCACCTGCCTTGGCTCCCCCAGAGTGCTAGGATTGCAAGCTTGAGTCACCATGCCTGGCCTATGTTGTTGTTTTTATTTATTTATTTATTTTTGAGACAGATTCTCACTATGTCACGCTCAGTTGAGTGCTGTGGCAGCACAGCTTATAGCAACCTCAAACTCAACTCTTGGGCTTACGTGATTCTCTTGCCTCAGCCTCCCAAGTAGCTGGGACTACAGGCGCCCACCACAACGGCTGGCTATTTTTTTGTTGCAGTTGTTAACTGACCTGGGCTGGGTTCGAACCTGCCACCACCAGTGTATGTGGCTGGCACCATAACCACTGTGCTATGGGCACCAAGCCTATGTTGTTTTTATTTTTATTTATTTATTATTATTATTTGAGACAGAGTCTTAATATGTTGCCCTCGGTAGAGTGCCATGGCGTCACAGGTCACAGCAACCTCAAACTCTTTGGCTTAAGCAATCCTCTTACCTCAGCCTCCCAAGTAGCTGGGACTACAGGTGCCCCCAACAACGCCCGGCTATTTTTTATTTTTTTGAGGTAATAGTTGTTGTTTGGCAGGCCGGGACTAGATTCGAGCCTGCCAGCTCTGGTGAATGTGGCTGACGCCTTAGCCGCTTGAGTTACAGGCGCCAAGCCATGTTGTTGTTTTTAAAGATGGAATTTCACTTGGCACCCATAGCTGAGTGGGTAGGGCGCCGGCCACATGCACTGAAGCTGGTGGGTTCGAACCCAGGCCAGCTAAACAACAATGACAACTACAACAAAAAAAATAGCTGGGCATTGGGGTGGATGCCTGTAGTCGCAACTACTTGGGAGGCTGAGGTGAGAGAATCACTTAAGCCTAAGAGTTTGAGGTTGCTATGAGCTGTGATGCCACAGTACTCTACCAAGGGCAACCTAGTGAGACTCTGTCTTAAAGAAAGAAAGAAAGAATGATGGAATCTCACGCTGTCCCTTGCTACACTGCAGTGATGTCATCATAGCTCACTGCAACCTCAATCTCAACCTCTTATTCATATACAAAAATGTCAGTGAGTACGCTCTCCTGACCAGCATTTCCTCTGCATGCTTCCAGCTTGTCCCTCTTCTAGGTGCAGCGGAAGAAACAGGAGGGAAGATGGCACAGCCCCGCTGCCCAGAATGTAATTTCAGCCATGGGCAGTGGCTCACACCTGTAATCCCAGCATTCTGGAAGGCCAAAAGAGAGGATCCCTTGAGCTTAGGAGTTCAAGACAAGCCTGAGCAATAGCAAGTCCCCGTCTCCATTACAAATAGAAAAGTTAGCTGGGCATTGTGCATGTCTGTAGTCCTAGCTACTTTGGAGGCTGAGGCAGGAGGATCATGGGAGCCCAGGAGTTTCAGGTTGCAGTGAGCTATAATGATGTCACTGTACTCTACCTGAAAGGACAGAATGAAACTCTGTCTCAAAAAAAAAAAAAAAAAGAATATAATTTCACTGGAGGATGCGCTGTGAGCTTGATAAAAAATATGGCAGAGTGTTGTGATGCCTGGGAAAGGTGGTCAAAGAACTCATGAAGGGTCAGAGAGGATACCCTTTAGGGTATGGGGAAGGCTTAGGGGTAGGTTTGAGCCTACCCCTGAAAAATTTAGATATGGGGCTAGGTGCAGTGACTCATGCCTGTAATCCTAGCACTCTGGGAGGCCAAGGCAGGTGGATTGCCTGAGCTCACAGGTTCAAGACCAGCCACAGCCATAGTTAGACCTCATCTCTAAAAATAACCTGGCATTGTAGTCAGCACCTATAGTCCCAGCTCCTTGGGAAGCTGAGGCAAGAGAATCACTTGAGCTCAAGAGTTTAAGGTTGAGGTTGTTGTGAGCCATGACACTACCAGCTACCAAGGGTGACAAAGTGAAACTGTTTTAAAAAAAAAAAAAAAAAAGGGCTCCAGCCCCAGCCACACACAGAGAGACTGGTGTGTTCAAGCCTGGCCCAGGCCAGCTAAACGACAATGATATCTGGAACAAGAAAATAGCCAGGCGTTGTGGGAAGGGGGTGGGGGCACCTAGTCCCGGCTACTCAGGAGGCCGAGGCAAGAGAATTGCTTAAGCCCAAGAGTTTGAGGTTTCTGTGAGCTGTGACACCACAGCACTCTACCGAGGGCAACAGTGAGACTCTGTTTAAATAAATAAAATATGAAGGTAGGCATTACAGGAAGATTACACAGCCTCAAAAAGTTGAAGATTAGGGGTAAAGTGAATAAATCAGCTTGTCATCTTTATGAGTGAACAAGTTGAGTTGGAGAGGCCACCTGGATACAAGTGGCTAAAGGAGCAGTATGGGGCATTACTTCAAAGGAGACAGGGAGCTTTTTTTTTTTTTTTTTACAAAGTCTCACTTTGTCGCCCTTGGTAGAGTGCTGTAGCATCATAGCTCACAGCAAGCTCAAACTCCTGGGGTCAAGCGATTCTCTTGCCTCAGCCT